TATCATATCCGAAATTTTTTTTGTAACACAAAGTATGTTACTTGAAATAATGTCAGATTATAGATGTTTGGTTTTTACTAGTATTCTAGTTGATTCTGTTTGGTTTTCTTTATACATAATTGTATGACCTGCGAAAGAAGATGGTGCACTCCATTTTCTAATTATTTACACCTCACATTTGAACTGGCTTATACATCAAGACCACTGGTAAGTAACTGCTAAAAACGTGCATCTTTATCTTACAAGGAGTGCTTCTAGTAATTCACTATTAAACATAACAATGGGTTGGCATTTAATATATTCCAACCAATCATTTTAAGGATTTCTGCTGCCTTTTCATCATCTCCACAGATGATGTATCATTTCTCATTAGTTCAATAACAAGAAAGTGAATTAACAGGTTTCCTAATAAAATCATCCTTGTGTTTCTATATGAATCCTAAATCTGAAATTCACTACATAATTTTTTAACTAACCTGAAAGCACAGTGGCAGGCTCCACGAGAATCAGGTATAACATAACTGACAATTTTGCAAGAGGTCAAACCCAGGGAGTTCACTATTTCACAATGATGTGAAACTGTTTTATACAACTAAAATGTTTGGACCCCACCTATTGCCTAAGGGCAGATTATACAGTTTATATATTCCCTTAAAAAGTAAACACTGTAAATATTCATTTTTTCCTTTCCAATCACCAAGGGTAATTACAAACTACATTACTTGTAATAATACAATGGCCTTTAAAAATTACATAATTATTTTAAAAAGATGAAGTTGCCTTTGTTCTGACTCTTAACATTGACCTGCAGTAACAAAAAATGATTGTGATAAAACTGTAATCAAGTCAGGAAAGCTGTATGTTCTTAAAGAAGCATAAACGCTTTTGCCCTAAAAATGGAACGTGGCCAGAAAAAAAATACTAAGTAAACTGTCCAAGAACATTCTGAAATCTGAAAGACCTTGAACAATAAAAATCAATTTAATTACGTGGTAAAAGTGGGAAAAGGGAAGAAGTATTGGGAGTAAGTAGTAAATAACTATATCCTTATTTTCCACATCATAATAGATAAATACAACCAAATATTAAACCTACATGAAAAGCAGTGTGGCAGTGGCATAAGCATACAGTTCAATGGAACAGAACTGAGTGCTAAAGTAAACCCAGTCAACTGATTTTTGAGACTGGTGCTACAACAATTCAATGAAGACAGTCTTCTTAACAAATCAAGCTGGGACATCCACATGCAAAATGATAAATTTACAACCTCTCTTAACAACATGCACAAAAACAGACTCACAATGGATCGTATACCTAGACATAAGAGCTAAGACTATAAAACTTCAAGAAGGAAATCTAAGCATAAATCTTTGTGACTCTAGGTTGGGCAAAGATTTTCTAGATCCAACACCTAAAGTATAGGAAATAAAAGAAAAACATAAAAATTTAAATTTCACCAAAATTAAAAACTTTTGAGCTTCAAGGAACACCGTCAAGAAAATGAAGACTAGTCTCAGACTAAAAAAAAACTTGCAAAATCTTATTTTTCTGATAAAGACTTGAATCCAGAACATATAAAGAACTCTTCTTACAACTCGAGAAAAAAAGAAAACAAACCCCATGGGCCGGCCCGGTGGCGCACTGGATAGTGCGCTGCTTGGGAAGCGCGGCGGCGCTCCGTCCGAGGGTTCGGATCCCACATTAAGACCGGCTCCCGCTCACTGGCTGAGCGAGGCGCAGGAGCAACACCGAGGCTTGCGATCCCGTTGCCGGTCCCCGGCCCGGCACGGGGGCGCAGCGGGGGGGCG